GGTTTTGAAGAGAAGTCCAAATGTTTGGTGAAACTTGTTAGGAGGGGTGTATAATCTGTGGGAATAGGAAATGAGTAGAACACAAAAAGCAAAGACAGGGCTAGAGAGATGGCTCAGAGGCTAAGAGCAGGTACTGCCCTTGTATAGAATCTGAGTTAAGTTCTCAGCACCCAGACTAGGTGGGCATCTCATAGCCACCTGTAACTTCAGCTCCAGGATATTTGACTGTTAGGACTCAGCTTTGCTCAGTGGGGTACCTACTGGCTTCAGGGCAGAGAGACTTGATCAGCGACAGAGTCTTGGACCCTGGGATCTATGTCTTTTCAACAAGCCATTTATTTCAAAATTCAGATGGTTTTTATACATCCCAAGGAACTGGCAGTCACGTGGAATATGGCAGTCACATACAAAGATTTAGGGTATAAAGAAACAGGACACACAGTCTGTTAATTGGTGCCTTCAGAAGGATGCTTAAGCTTTTACTCAAAGTTATTGAGGCCTATCCAGTAATTTATTGGCCATAATATTTTCTTTCTTAGAGTTAGAAGCATGGTAAACTTTTAGCTTTTAGCTCAGGAGTAAACATTTAGACTGGCCTAATCTCTTAGCTAAGGATAGTTGAGTTATTTGTTCAGGACAAGGAGATGAGCTAAGGGTTGTTGACCAAGATGCTTTCCCACAGAGCAAGGAGCCTGCACTTATAACCAGGTCACCGTCTCCTGCTAGCCTCGCAGTGTTCTGCAAGACAGGGATTATCAGAGCTATTGTTTTCAGAGACCCTCCCTTTAGCAGCTGGGCCTGGCATTATGGTTTCCTACATCTGACAACCTCTTCTGAACTCAACAGACATCTATACTTACATTCACATACACACACACACACACACACACACACACACACACACATACACACATAATTAAAAATAACAAAATAACTCTTAAAAAAGCAAAGACATGTAGCCTTACTTGACTTTCAAATTAAGAATAGAGGAAAGAAAGTTGTGTTGGACCTTCCTTGCAATGTGTCTTTTGCAGAATTGATAGATGATTTACTTAAGGACTCTTTAGGGCCATTTCTGGTTAGTTCCATAATTTTGTCAAGGTGACTCCTTTCAAGGCCAGGGAAAGGGAGAGGTGAACAGGCCTACCTGCTAGAGTAAAAGAGGACACTTAAAGGCAGTTTCCTATTATATACAGATTTACCCATTCATGCCCTAAAATTTTTTTTTAAATTTTATTTTATGTTTATGAATGTACCAGTAGGTGCATCCATGTCGTGCAATGCCCATGGAGGTCAGAAGAGGGCGTCAGATCCCCTGGAATGGAAGTTATGGATGGTTGTGAGCCACCATATGGGTACTGGGATTCAAACCTGGATCTTCTGCAAGAACATCCAGTGCTCTTAACTACTGAGCCATCTTTCTAGCCCCCATCCATGTCTTAATCATCCCAGAAGAGGAGATTCCTCCAGGAGTCTTGACAGAACTGCTTCTCTGTGTCCTAAATGTCAGCCCCTTAATGTGCACACTATCTTCCACACCTAAGAGCTGGCAATACCTGCAATCTCCAAATCTGATTGACAAGGATTTAGCTATTTTTCTTAAAGAGAAACAATCACAGCAGTCATTCACATTAGTCTAAATTAATCATTGGAAAAACAAAACAAAACAAACGAACAAATACTTCACTAGGTTGTTCTTCCCTTCTGCACCCTCTATCTTGTAACTTACCAGGCTAACTAACTGATTATATTCAGTTTGCTTGCCTGTTTTCTCAAGAGTCTCTTCAACAGGTCCTTTGGTCATCACAGCTATACTATACTCTTGGGATTTTGTGTAGATTCCACTTAGCTTCCATCCTCTACCTTGTTCATGGGTATTGAGTGGTGTAAGCACAGCAGCCTCCCCCTCTGGCTCAGCTGGATTTTAGCATAACAATGTACATCTTTCTTCAGCCTAATCCCCAGGTCTAGGTGCTGACAGCATACTGACTCCCTCACACCCTTCTTCTCAGTTCAAGTCAGTTTCACACATCCTCTAATTATTAAAAATATGCACAATGCAAACACATTGAATATAATATATGGGCATGGGATCAAGGCTTCCTTATTAAGTTATTTACTGTTATTAGTCATGACTTTTTAAATGGATTCTGAGTTGGAGTCATTTTGGAATAGATCTATTATTCTTGCTATTTACATGACCCTGAAATAGTTTGGTCCAGATTATTTTATGCTGTAATGATTATATTTCTTCTCAAATGACTTTGCCAGAACATGTAATAAGAAAAACAACAAAAACCCTTCAGCCTCTTAATGGCATTATTGTCATTGACGTCTACCACCACCTGCTGGTTAAAAGGCTGCATGGCTTAGGTGTCCTAACTGGAAAAGAGTTTGTTCAGAATGTTTCAACTATTTCTGCATTACAGGATTGCATTGTAGCACAGAAAGGGTAAGGTGGATGACTATATAATAATATTCCTAAGACTACTCCTTGCTGCATTATGAGTTACATATTATATATTGCACAATATTTTATATAGCAAAGGGGCTCTTGGGAGTTGAAGTTATGCTATGAAATTTTAAAGGGGAAAAAAAGCCCATAATGAGGCATTTAACCAGGCTTTTAAAATATGTAGATTGGTATATAAGGTAATACAATATTTCAAGGACATTTTTATAAATAGTTTTGAATATTTGAGAATCTCATATATTGTATTTTAAACATATTCACGTTCATCACCTCCCTTTAACTACCTGCAGATCCACTCCCACCTGTGTTAAACTTGAAGTTTAACATGACATATTAAAAATTCTACCTTGATATCTTTGCAAAAACATTCCCAATTTTAGTCAGAATGTCAGAGAGTCTGAGGATTTCAGTCATTGGTGTAGATTCTTTGTCCATTTTCCTGTCAGTCTCTAATACAAGCATCTTATTTTAAAGTTATTTATTCATTACAAACTTAACATTAAAGTTATTTGTTCATTATACTTATTAACTTTACTGCTCTTTAAATGCCTTGACCAGTGCTGTTAGTAAACATGACTTGTTCTTGGTTTATTTTCTTCTAGGGAGAATTTTTCAAAAGGAAGTAGGCTTTGCTAAGTGGGAAAGTGGGAGTGAGAGTTAGCTCGAGCAGTCTGGCAGTTGAAGGCTTTGCATTTATCCAAAAGGTCTCTCCCAGGGGCTGGAGAGGTGGCTCAGTGGTTAAGAGCACTGGTCTTCTTGTGGAGGACCTGGGTTCAGTTCCCAGGACCCACATGGATGACAGCTAACAATCATCCATAACTTCAGTTCCAGGGAACCCAACATCCTCTTCTGGCCTCTACAGACAGTGCACAACATTGGTACATTTAAATACAGGCAGAACACTCATACATATAAAATAAAATTAAATTAATGAAAGGTCCTCCTGGTCAAATGATCTTGATCCTGAGGCTGCCCAAGGTAAAGGATTTCTGTCCTCAGTGCTTTTGCGCTGACTGTTCCCCCTGGCTGGAACATCCTTTAGCAAGTTTTGTGTGACATTCTTCACTCTCCATGTCTCAGGACAAATGGCACTTCTCAGAAAGGCTTTCTTGTTGTCCTAAGTAAGTACTGCACACTGTTCACTTTGAAAATAGTCATTTTATTTATTAATTTGTTCAGGTGTGTGCTGTGTGTCTAGTCACTAGAACAAAGGCTGGTGATGACTGAAACCTATCATTCACGTTTCCTGACAGAGCCCCAGTGTCTTGTACCTATGATGGTCTCTGTCATAGATTAAATGGAATATGCGCTGGCTTAGTGAATGAATATTTCAGCTGCTGTGCTATTTGTCTAGTTTTAAAGAATGACCACATTTTCAACTCATATTTCTGAAACCCTTTCTCTATGTTAATTATTTTGTCCCATTTTATCTTATTTCACTTCATTTATCTTGGATGAGATTAATCAAACATACAGCATCTAGGAAAGCTGTGCCCCAAAGTGCTTCCCCAACAACCTGGTCACATCTTGGCCTCCTGCAGAAAGGCATGTCCCTTTCTCAGATGAATTTTTAAAAATTTAAATTTATTTATTTATTTATTTATTTGTTTGTTTATTTGTTTATTGAGACAGGGTCTCCTGTAGCCTAAGCTGTCCTGGAACTTGCTATGAAGAACAGGTTGGCCTCGAATTCACATAGATCCACCTGCCTCTGCCTCCCAACTGCTGGGATTAAAGTCATGCACCACCATGCCCAGTTTTATCTTCTTAAGTGTTAAAATATTCATTTTTGAAAACTACTATGGATTTGTTGTCATTTTATTTTCTAGCATATTATCAGTTTTGTTAATCATGATTTTTAAAACTTAATATCACAGAATAGTCTTATCACCATTAAAAAATTGCTTTGTTTTTTATATTTCTTTTCTTGCTTGCTTCTAAGTGGTAGCCAAATGGCATTTGGTATATAGAGTGGAGTGAGCCACTCTCACAGCAGTCTGAAGTGATCACGTCTTTATTATTTGGTGTTCCTGATGGCTTTTCTTTCTTCCTAGTTTACACAGAATACATGTTTAATCTCAATCCAGATTGGCATGCTGGACAGATATTACCACTTTTACAAACCGATTAACTTAAATATATGGAAGACAGCCACTAAGAGCACCTCCCAAATCCTAAACTTAAGACCTTTTGCCTTAAACCCCAAGTGTAGGACTCTTCTCTCATGAGGACTCTCTTTGTGGAGTTTGGAAAAAGGGCAGACCTGAACTTAGAGTCTACCACTGTTGTGTAATTCCAGGCAAATCACTCAACCTCTCTGGTGCTCATATAAGTTTTCCTCTGGGAAAATAGGCAGAAGGTGACTAATGTGTTATATTAATCTGTGTTCTCTGCATAAAAAGAACCAAGAATGAGTATATGTGTATATATATATACACACACACATATATATACATAAAACCTCATCTGAGCTTCAATTCATTTTAAGAGGAATTCTGCAAAGTAACATGAAATGAAGCATAGTTACCTGGTTATGTGTGCTTTCTAGGTGTGTCTGTAGCAAGAGCTGGAACACAGGAAAAAGTGCAAGTAATCTGGAATATACCTGTTATCGACAAAAGGCACAAAGTATTAAAGAATAGGCACAAAAGGTGAATAATATCCTGTTGGGATTTGAATAAATTCTTTTACTTTTTAAAACATAGTTTATTACTTTTATTTTATATGTATGCGTCTATTGCCTGCATGTTTGGAAATGCACCCATGTCGTGCCCGCAGAGGTCAGACGAGGCCATGAGATCCCCTGGAACTGGAATTTTGGACAGTTATTAGCTGCCATGTAGGTGCTGGCATTCGAACCCAGGTCTTCCACAAGAACAGTCAGCATTCTTAACCTCTGAGTCATCTCTCCAGTCCCTAAATTCTTTTATTTTAATGACTCACGTATGCAGGATTTTTTTTCTTTCTACGTTTTGGAGAGCAATGCATACTCTCTGGTTTGGGGTTATTTTTACATTTGCTCCATGATTATGAAAAACAAGAGAGAACAGGCAAAGGCAGGACTTATCCCCTAATGCAGGTTTTCAGGAGTGAGCTCATCCTCAGCAGGGAACCAAGGTGCTTTGTTTCCTTTTAGCTGTTCTTCCTTCTGTACTTGGCTGTTGAGAGAGAGCTCTGGATTTCCGGGAAACCTTTTAACCAGTAATATTGATAAGATCCAGCCTCTCACAGAAAAGCTTCCATCACAGAGTAGGAGAATAGGAGGCTCCAACTTCCTGTCACTTTTGGAAACAGGAACTCAGTTACTGCATAGGCAAGAGGTCCCGCAGAGCTCGTTCTGAAGGATGAGGGTCCCAGATTTTGACTTTAGGTGTTCTACTCTTCTAATTTATAGAATTTCCCCAAATCCATCTCCTTTCTGAGGACTGGAACTTTTACCTCTCTGGGTAATAGAGTGAACCTCTTCCACCTGAGAATACAGCACATTCCACTCCTTTGTTATGCCTCTTAAGTAATTCTTAGATCCCCTTCTGATATCACAGGTGCCAGGGGATGTGTCCCTTTACAGGGATTCTACTGTTACTAGCCATAGAATACCACTATCTAGCCCCTTTCATTCACAGCCCCGCCCCTCTGCAAAGGGGTCAGTTTAGAAAATTATTTTCCAACCACATGGAACGGATCAGTTCTTAGTACCTTATCCAGAATCACGCAGGTCTGTCTGACCTTGGTGTCGTTAGCAAATATGGCGCAGCAGAAGCCTGGATTCAAAGTTACAACAGGGGGAGCTACACATCCTTTATAATGGCATGATTCCATATTCTAGAACATGTCTCACAATGACATTCATAGAATCTGGAGGGAGAGGGAGGAAAAAAAAAAACAAACCTATGACCTTATCAACTTCTATTCATCGATTCCTGAGAAGCAAGGATACATGAAATGGTTAGTTCCACTCTACAGTCTCCATTTATGTATATGTATTTATACATGCAGAGGAGAGCACTTCACATGATGCTCAGACCTGCTTCCACCCTCATTTCAATACACCGAGGAAGGAAGGTTAAGACATTAGTCAAAGACTAAACTGTGGTTACTGTGTCGAAGGGCTTTTGGGCAGTCTAGTGTTTTGCTCAACCTTTGGGCAAGCCCCCCCGCCCCTCGGGCAAGCCCCCCCGA